GATTGGAGATAAGAATTTGGGAGTTTTGCTTACTCTTTGAGGTTGATTTTAAGTAGATATCTAGAGTTCTTGATATTGTACTAATTAGTTAGTTGCTATAATCTCTTGGTTTGTGAGTTCCAATCGGTGCTAGGTTATCTAGCTACCCCGAATCCATGCTCGAGTTGTTGTACGAATTTGGGAGTTTTCTCACTTGTAGGGATTTATGAACTCTCCCTCATCTTTAAGTCTAGGGATTTTTCTAAAAGACAAGAATTTAAGTTTGACTAAATGTGAAATTATGTTAACCAAGTGTAAAATAAATATAGTTGCTCATCGAAGAACCGTTGCTCGTGGATGCTGGACACGCGGACACAAGAGTAAATACTTCGCAGGAACCAGGTAAGTCACCACCACCTATACATGATAGTTCTAAATAAAGTATGGAAGTCTAGCTAATGATGAATTGATATACTTGCTTGAATACTTGAAATTGTATGGCATGTGATTATGTGAACTCCAAGTTGTATGTATCCATGAACGGATGGTCTTAATTGTGCAGCCATTTATTTATGTGATGTAAATTATTCAGAATATATGTTTGAGGTTGTGTTCATGTGGAATGAAAATGAAAAGGAAGTTATGATGATAATGAAAATTATTGAATGATAAGTAATGATCTAAGGTAGCCGTGCCCCCAAGTAACTACCTGAGCTAAGCGTAGCAGGACAGCCTTCCGCGGGGAATCCTGAGGTTACTTCTGATGGGCTGCGGGCTAGCTACCTGAGGTCATCAACAAGGGGCCAGGACACGAGCTACGAGCCCGGCCATAAACTCAAGGAACAAGATGAGATGAACGAATAATGAGTAAGGAAACCTCTTGAGGTTTGATATGTGAACGCTTATGTGTGTTATGCGCATTTCATGTGCGATTATAATATATGTGTGGTGTATTGAGCATGGATATCTATTTATGATTCGTTGAGATTCCTGAAATGATTTTGTGGATGAAATGGTGACTTACTAAGCATTATTGCTTACGAGAATTTCATTCTCTTATGTTCTCATGTATAGGTAATAAACGAGGTACAGAAGCCTAAGAGAATGTGTGGAGCTGGTGACAAGGTTTTGGATGAGTTAACGGAGAAGATCGGGCAAACTATTATGTTTTGTTTTTAGTACTAGTATACTCCTATGGATTATTTAAATATTTGTTTTGAAATCCTGATCAGGTGTAAATGTTTTGTTTAAAGACATATTCCTTTGGTTATTTGATGTTTTCATTATGAGATTTGGATATGAACATAAGTTATAAAGTTTCATGAAGAGACTTTGTATCTTTATTTCCGTTTGGTTTATCGAGTCCCTTTTATGTTTGAGTATCGTAATAGTCATGTTGGAGACCGTCGTTACACTTCCCTAGAGAAACGGTTTATCCCAGGTTCAACCCTATTCAATTTTTATTTACCCCTCTTTAAGAGACGGTTTTCTGGTTAAAGGACCTTCTATCGTTGTGATATGCACTTATAGGTAATCATATATATATATATATATATATATATATATATATATATATATATATATATATATATATATATATATGGAGAGAGAGAAAAAAAGATCAGGTGAGAAGTCTCCCTTAAAATGAGAAGTGAGAAGCAATCTCAGCCCTTGGATTTGCATCTAATCTTACAACGCAACAAACTTATAGACTGAATATACGAACTTATAGTCAATAAATCATAACTTATAAAGCTCTCCATCATAATTACGAAAATGCCACCGTGTCCAAAAATTTTCAAGGTTTTCAGGCTTATTTTTTGCGGTGGTATTTTCGTAATTATTTTCGACGGGGTCTATAAGTTATGATTTATTGGTTAAAAGTTCATGTTTTTAGTCTATTAGTTAAACTTCACAGTTCTCTGCCTAAGAGCACTTCTAACCTGATCCACTATCTCTCTCTCTCTCTCTCTCTCTATATATATATATATATATATATGGGTTAGATCACATACTAACCCTGCTTAATTTACTAACCTACAAACTCAATAATATGCAACACTTTGAACTTCAATATGCACTACAAATAATGTAAAGATGAACTCTTTGAACTTCAATATGCAATACAAATAATGTAAATATGAAACTGCTATTTTATGACTTGAATAATATGAAACACTTTAAACTTCAATGTGCAATACAAATAATGTAAAGATGATTTGAATGAGAGGACTAGTTTGTATGTGATCCCACCCCTGCATCTTTACATTATTAGTACTACATATTGAAGTTCAAAGTGCTGTATATTATTGAGTTTGTAGGTTAGTATTTTAAGCATGGTTTGTATTTGATCTCTCTCTCTTATATATATATATATATATATATATATATATATATATATATATATATATATATATGGAGCGGTTCCGGTAAGAACGGACTCCCAGGAGAGAAATAAGAACGAATCTGGACCATTGGATTGTATTATGTGGAATTGAAATGTGCATTGGTGAAATTGAAATGTGCATTAGATGATATTGAAATGTGCAGAATAAAAATTTAAACTTAAGTGTGCATTAGGTGAAACTGAAATGTGCGGAATAAAAGGTATAAAAATAACATCACATCGTACCTTTTATTCTGCACATTTCAGTTTGACCTAGTGCACATTTCAATTTCACCTAAAGCACAATTCAGCTTCACATAATGTCACTGTATCATATCCTTTGTGTTGCACATTACAGTTTCATCTAATTCACATTGAATTTCACTTAAAGCAAATATAACGGTCCAGATTCATTCTCATTTCTCTCCTAAGATCATGTTCTTATTTGAACCAAAACCTATATATGTTGTTGGAGGTATTGGTCCTACCAAGGCCTCCCTTCCACTTTATTTGCTGAGGCTTGCACCCTATTGTTTTACTCCCACTTTGGTACCTTTTCTTTGGTATATATCCTGATCAAATATATACCTATTTTGAGCGGTTGACTTAATCCAATTGGCTGGCCCCTTCTCTGCCTCCTGTCCGCTGCACTCTTTGCCTGGCAGCCTGTGAGCCTTTTTTGTCTTGGCTCTCACCCGTGACTTCCTTCTGGCCGTTGCTATTATTTAGAGGCCTTGGCCTCTTCCTGTGATTGTAGTCTGCATAAGTTTGTTCCAGAGAGCAGTGCTCTCTGCTTCTCTTTCCCTTTGTGTGAGAATAGAGAGAGAGTCTTAGTGGTGAGAAGAAAAATCAGAGTGTGCAAAAGCCTCCCCTAGAGTGGTGTGTGAGAGTGTGTGGAGATAGACCTGAGCCGGAGACGGATATACGGTCCTTACATATGTGTGTGTATATATATATATATATATATATGTGTGTGTGTGTGTGTGTGTGTCTATATATATATATATATATATATATATATATATATATATATATATATATATATATATATTGCTAATTTTTACCAGTTCTACCTTCACTCACTTAATGCTTGTTTGAATTACAAGACTTTTTTGTGAATACAAGAATGTGAACAAATCTAATGACGTATTAATACTGCATCAATGGATGAAGTAGTTTTGTACAGCAAATTAACGAAAATGAAGTAATGTCCCATTGCAAACTTCACCTTTTCTCACCCTCTCAAGTATTGTGTATTATAAGCTTTATTTAATTGGTATATATTATTCCTTTTGACAAAGTTGTTGTTAATGTTTTACTTTCATCGCATAATATACTTTTTCATTCTAATTGTAATAGATTCAAAGTTCGGTGTGAGAAGAGGAACAACTGAAGAACTATTGGTGGTGACAGTAGTGTTGTTGTTTTATATTGACTTTGAATGGCTCTGTGGATGTGTATACCTTAATTGTGGAAGTGAATTGCTCTGGCAAGGAGAAGAAATATTATTATTATTTTTTAAAGTGTGGGGGCAAAAATATTACGTACTAACTATTAGTAACTATAATTGCATTCAAAGTTTACATCGTACTAAACTTTGAACAAAATTACAGTCACTAATAATTATTAAGTAATATTTTTATTCATGACCTTTTCATTAGTAATATTTAAGGAAACCTTTTTTTGTAACTTGGTGTTTGTATAGTAATAGTCATCATGAGTAATCTTTGCATCCATAAATTTGCATCACGAGTACTTTGCATCCATAAATTTGTATCCATAAAATTAAAGCTTATCATTATAATCTTTTTAAAGTGTGGGGGCAAAAATATTACGTACTAACTATTAGTAACTATAATTGCATTCAAAGTTTACATCGTACTAAACTTTGAACAAAATTACAGTCACTAATAATTATTAAGTAATATTTTTATTCATGACCTTTTCATTAGTAATATTTAAGGAAACCTTTTTTTGTAACTTGGTGTTTGTATAGTAATAGTCATCATGAGTAATCTTTGCATCCATAAATTTGCATCATGAGTACTTTGCATCCATAAATTTGTATCCATAAAATTAAAGCTTATCATTATAATCTTTCCAGTAGCCTTCGAAGCAAATGTAAAAGTGATTTCAAATGATTTTTTTTGTTTGAAATAATAATTGGAATTTCAAAATTAATAAAATGGTTATTTCACCATTAAGGTAAATAAATAAATTATGAAAATGGCTTTTAACGATGGAGATTCATCTTCTCATTAAAACCTTTACTACGGAAGCTATAGTGACGGGTCGACGGGAAATTTCCCTTCATTAAAAGTATTTAATGACAGTACTTTGATCTTTGCTCACAAGTTTGGCCGTTAGCAATGTTTCTTGTAGTGCTGACTCTTGATTGAATAAGTTTCAAACCCGTGTGTGCCTAGCGGGTTTTGAAGTCGAGATCTCTCATTAGGCATGATAACCTCACAACTAGCTGAGATGGAATGTATGGTTTCAAGCTTACCTAGAACTTTTGAATATATTACGCCATACGTACCCATCTTATTCCACATTAGTGTTCTTGTTTCAAGATTATTAATTACGAAAATATAATTTTGAAGGTAGTAATCAAAATTGAACATAAAATTTGATGCTAAAAGATACCAAAGATTAACATAGAGTATTGAATGATAACTTGTACAAATTGAAGGTAGTATATATAGTAACAACGTTGTACAAACAATTGACTAGTTTGATCGAAAGCTTAAAATAAGAACAAACAGATAAGATTTTTAAACAATACAAATCATTTAATTGTCCCTCCAAATATTTCTCCGTTCGGAACATGAGTTGCATTCATGAAAGATAGATGCAACCATGAAAAAATAGAAGAAATGTCCTTTGCGAAGAACAAATAAAAATTCTATATAAACACTAGACGAAGCTAAGGGTTTAATTGAAGGGGTAGAAGCATCCACCTTCTTATTTCCTTCCCTTTGGTCTTCAGAATTGAGAATTGTTATGCAAAACAATCAAACCAGAAACACCTATATCTAAATCTCTAGAACAATATCTGCAAGAGATAAAAGTAAGAACAAACAGATAAGATTTTTAAACAATACAAATCATTTAATTGTCCCTCCAAATATTTCTCCGTTCGGAACATGAGTTGCATTCATGAAAGATAGATGCAACCATGAAAAAATAGAAGAAATGTCCTTTGCGAAGAACAAATAAAAATTCTATATAAACACTAGACGAAGCTAAGGGTTTAATTGAAGGGGTAGAAGCATCCACCTTCTTATTTCCTTCCCTTTGGTCTTCAGAATTGAGAATTGTTATGCAAAACAATCAAACCAGAAACACATATATCTAAATCTCTAGAACAATATCTGCAAGAGATAAAAGTAAATGTCTATTAAATGTATGAATAATAGGCTAGTATGTATGGTAAAAAGTTGTAACAACTCACACTCCGAATTAGTCTTATCCCATTTTCCTGAATGCTGCATTTCTCCTTGCGTTTTGTTTTCCTCCTCCTCGTCCTCCTCCTCCTCTTGCACTCTTGATTTTCGTTTATCCTCTAAATATCTTCTTTTCGACGGTACTCGCGATGAATTTTGCCGGTTAATTTTTTTGGAGAGCATAGTCCTCAAAAGCTGCATAATTTAGATTCACAAAATAATTAGTAAAAAAATCATTATGAATTGTATGAGAGTATCAAAACAGAATGATTTTACCTTGTCCATTCTGGATTCTTGGAATGTATCTCTTAAACTGGGAGCAGGAGCAAAACCAGTTGTGCAGGCAAAGATTTTCTTGAAAAGAAAAGAAACAGACTTCTTCCCGATTGTCTTCTGCTTTTTGTTCTCACATACGTCCCTGCATCTTCTAATGATGGCTCTAATGGTTCTGTCAATCTCATCTTCATCGCATTCATAATTAGTAGACGAAGAATTCGCACTGGACGTGTTCGAAAGCGTTCGATCAAAATCCAAGTTGGAAGGACAATTGAAGAACCTGTCCAAGGGGAGATCCATATCTTCTTCAACCTCCACACTTTTTTTTGAAAGGAGCTTACCAAGAGCCTTTTGTAACTTCCAAAATTCTTCTGTGGTGAATTCTGCTAGATCCGGTGATGAACATTCTTCTTCTTCTTCTTCAATGATTTCATTTCTTTCGGGTAGTTTTTCTGTGTTCTTCATCGGATTAGTGTTTCCAAGAGTTCCGATTGCCAGTAGGCTATCTGCAGGCCAATCATTGAACTCTTGCCGCTCTCTGTTATTATCTATAAAAAGAATTACATATATATGTTCAAATATATAATAAAAATGATATAAAAACAAACACACAAAGTTATACATATAGAAATGCATAAAGCTTATAAATAAAATTACATATAAATATGTTCAAATGTCTTTATATAACACTTCTTATGACGTAACAAAAGAGTTCAACTTTGGCTCCAAATTTCCATCACAAAATGTAGTTAAGCTATACAATGTAAGATCTCTAATTCAATAGTCACTTAGTCAGTTTTTTTAGTATTCTCGATCAGTTGTAATATCAATAATAGTAATAATCTTAATTCGGTAACAATTTTTTTTTCTTATTTTTACTATGTGTGTGTGTCTATACACACATAGAGAGAGAAGAGATCATATGAGAAGTACCCATTAAAATGAGAATGAAAAGTAATCTTAACCCTTGGATATGATCTCATTTACAACGCAGTAAACTTATAGACTAAATATAGGAACTTATAACCAATAAATCATAACTTATAAAGTTCTCCATGATAATTACGGAAATGTCACCGCGTTAAAAAAAATTTCCAGGTTTGTGAAGTTATTTTTTTGCGGTGCCATTTTCGTAATTATTTTCGACGGTCTATAAGTAATGCTTTATTGGTTAAAAGTTCCGATATTTAGTCCATAGGTTTAACTTCGCAGTTTTCAGCCTAAAAGCACTTCTCACCGGATCTGCTCCACATATAATATATATATATATATATATGTGTGTGTGTGTGTGTGTGTATATATATATATATATATATATATATATATATATATATATATATATATAAAGTCAACATTCTTAATACTGGTGCTTTTAAGAATAGCAATAGTACTTGTTATCCAAATCTGTTTAACATCTTTCCTCTCATGCATGTGTTCTATTTGTATATATACTTATATAAAAAATATATAAAATACTAAAGTTGTAATTATTATTTTCATCCAAATTAGTACTTCAAACTGGGTTCCACAATTACGTAATGATTCTAGCTCCTAATAAAGTATTGAATTTATTTCATATGTGATAACAAGAAAAAACAATAATCATAACAGTAACAATTACAACAACGTGATGATGATGATAATTATAATAATAATAATAATAATAATAATAATAATAATAATAATAATAATAATAATAATAATAATAATAATAATAATAATAATAAGTTTGGTGGTTATAAGATCTTGTTACTTTGTAAACCAAAAAGACTTAATTGCAAACATTATTGATTATTATTAATCAATAATATGGTAAAATTTGATCCATTATTTCGTCATGTTTGACTTTTTCAGTCAAATATGATAAACTTTGATCTATTATTTTAACTAATATATTTATGTGAAACTTAATAAATTTATACATTTATGCATGATAATATTTTTAACAAAGAACATTTTCATATCATTTTCAAATTATCAACATTACTGTGTATAAATATATAATCGATTAAAGTTTAACATCTTTAACTCAAAAATCAAATTTGACTAAATATAAAAGGACGGAGGGAGTATGATATTATAATAAAGTATCACAATTTTTGTATTGTAATAATAATGGTAAAACATTATTATCAAAACAAAAATAGTACGACGCTAAATAGTAGTATAATTTAATACGTAGTAATAATCAATATAATGTTTGCAATTAAGTCTTTTAGGTTTACAAAGTAACAAGGTCATTAAATTTGTGGGATTTTCCTACTCAGTTTGTTTTAGCTCATTTAATGGGAAAAAGAATTAGACGCCTCCACAGTATAACACCATGCATGAATACTTTGGGTATTATTTTCCAATGTATATGAATACTTAAATAGCATTAATTTAAACTCATATACGAAGTATATTCTTATTTCAACCTAGTTGATGAGTATAATTATTAGACATTTATTTAGACACAATATGTATCAAAATAAACTAATATTTTATAGTGGATGCATTCATTACAAATTAAAGTAGTATTTATCAATCATTTTTCTTATAATCTTTGTTTGTATAAAACAATGAGATAGAATCCAAATTAGTAGTTCTAAAAAAACAAATTAGTAATGAGTTTTTCCTCGTACCCATAAAAAAGTGGTGTTAAGTCAAAGTGATATATACACTGCAATGATCGTTCCCGCTCACATAAAATATAACAAACATTACAAGCTAAGCTTCAATATGATATATTTTATCGTATCATATTTTAGATCCAATTATTAATGGTTATAGATACATATTATCCTTTTAGATATTATTAATTGCAATTTAAGGGAATATTTTTTGTTGCTGCATTCACAAAATAATATTTGTAATTATTGCCCATGAAAAGTTTACCCAAACAGACTAGTTATAAAGTGGTTAAATATTTCATTATTTTAGAAAGCATCAGTAAGATAGCTATGTGGCATATATAACTATGGCAGTATGACTTTTAATATGAGAAAGTCCTCAACCAATTCCTACTATGCTAATTTGTTTGAGATGTTAAGGTAATTATATATATATATATATATATATATATATATATATATATATATATAATATACACACACAGGTTGCTATAAATTAAGGGTAAAGAGCACATACGATTTGACATTTTCAAGGTGTTTGTTGAACAATAAATACATAAATTTTAAAGCGTTTTTTCCGCAATATAATATTTAAAATTTTATACATTAATAATACTCAAGTTTATAATGTGGAAAATCAATTATATATGTCACTTATAAAAAAAGGTAGTCCTTTACACGAATGCATCCCCTCAAGGCAATGGTTTAGAGAAGGGCCCCACCATAGGGGTGAACATAAAAGAGGTCGCTTCAAAAACTTGAACATGTGACATCCTGGTCACACGACAACACCTTAATTGGTGCGCTAAAACTCTTCTTCAATATGTGTCTCTTATATTTAGTTTTTTGTGCAAATTATTAACTTTGATAAGCCGCCAAAGCCTATGAACCATATATAAAAATACAAAACTTTTCAAAATACAGATTTATTTGAATTTCGATAATTCTTATAAATAAATATATGTTGTGCTATTATACTTGTGGATATAACCTGTGCAACACGTGAGTACTAATCCAATACCAAATAAACAATAATATACTATCTCGTTCCTTTTTATTTCCTCCGTTCTTTTTTAATTCCAAAATCTACTTTTCACTATTAATATCTTTAATATCTATTAATATCTTTCATTCCTTATTAGTAAAAAATTAAAAAATCCAGATTTTGAAAATTTAAAGTGGGAAGAATTTAACAATATTTTTAAAAAATTTAATTTACTCCGGATAATCTTTGACTTCTTCAATCATCTTTATTGACTTTGGAAAATCAAACATATATGACTTACTAAGAAGTCAAAAATTGAATATGTTCAAATATAAATCAACATATAAAGTTATTTACACATAAAAAAAAATCAATTTAGCACATATGAAAAGATGTGTAGGAAGAGGAAGCCCTACCGGTGGGAGGTGGAATCCGATTCGTTTTGGATCCTGCTGCCTGTCCGCCATTGAATCTGTGTTGCATCCAATTAAAGAACTGCTTCCACACAAATTAAAAGACACAATTATTCAAAGAATTAATTACTACTACATATTAACATATATAGTTTATGTGTATAAGAATTCAACGAGGTTTAATTATGTTAATTAATTAAGCTGCAAATATATATCCCATATCCATAAACATAAAAACATACCTTCATTATTATATTTTGAAGAGGCTAGGGCAAAGTTATGGAAAGCAGCTAAGGAGTATATATACATACAAATGAAAATAAAGCTTATAAGTTTGGTTATGCAGCAAGCAGGCCGATAGATATGATGAAGTTTACTATACGAAGCTAAGCTAAAGGCTAGTGGTGAGGAAAAGCTGGAAGGAGATGGATCCTAGCTAGGATTTAAGCTAAAAAAAATCTATGCTTTATGAATACTAAATACTAAAAAATCTATGTTAAACTATATACTATCGTGTATATATATAAAAAAAAATTGGGATTTGATGTCTGGAATTGAAAACCATGCCCAATTGGCCAACCTGATGTTGCTATCCACCCCGGCCATGTTTTCATTGGTTCAACGCAACTTCCTGTTTCATATTTTCTATTTGTACTGTTTCAAATTCACGTGTGCAAATATAAGCTGTTAGAAATTAAAGATTCTCGATGTTTAGTAGACATGAAAATATAATGTAATGTTTAGTTCTATTTAAGACGTAAAATGTGTGATCCTACTTTTCGAAGATATATGACTATATTTTAGGATGTGTCGACTTGGGCTGAAATTTTCTAGTATATGGCCTAGTCTATAGATGTTTGGTCTCTGTGTAGTTTACAACTCCCGAAGTCTGATCTTGTATGATATGATCCGATCTGGTCTGACACTAAAATAAGTCCAATTAAAAATATCGTTTCCTAGTATATATGAACTGTTTCCTCATTTTTGTATCATTTAGAAAGTCTCTAAAATCATAGTTGAGTATTTGGCACAATATTTTTAAAATCTTTTTTAGAATCTACCTTGAATAGCTTCTGAAAGAAAACAAGTTGCTTTTAGCATTAATCAGCCACTAGTTTCTTATAAAAATAGGACTACATCAAGTAATTGATTTTATGAAACACGTAAAGTGGATGTTTGTTAGACACAAATTCATACCTATAGCTAGACTCTTATACTATTTAAGTGTTTTAAAGCTATTTTTGTACTTTTATCACATCAAGTTTTAGAGCTTTTTTATATTTTTTAGAAACTACACCGAGTAACTTCACATAAGGCTTATACCTTTTAACAACAATGAGTCAAAACATGTTGTTATCAAACAACTGCAACCTTTTTTTAGAAATCTCTTCATTCACTAAAAGGCTAATAGTTGCTAAAAAAACTTACAAAAATATCTTTTCAACTAGTTATGACAAATATACTCAAAGTCTTTTTATTTTAAGATTATTTTAATTACTAAACGCTAACCATTACTAAAAACTCAAAAATGTATCTTTTCAACCGTCTACATGTGAAGTAATATACTCCCTCCGGCGCTTAATGAAGTTTACAATTTGACTTCACACATATTAAGAAAATAAATTTAACTTTAATGTAGAGTACACTGTTTGGCACTGTTTGGTGTAGATTTGTTTGTCAAATAAGGCACATAAGGAAGTGTAAAGTTTAATATGGGACGACTCAAAAAGGAAAGTGTAAAGTTAATTAAGGACCGGAGGGAGTACAAATGATGCTAAGCATAGCTTATTCCTATATAATTGTAGAAACTTTATTCCTAAGCATAACTATTAGAAATAATTACATAAATATGACCAAAATAAAGATGATTTATAAAAATATGACTAATGACTAGAGTAGTAATGAAATCATAGTAATTCATATTCAAGTTTTGAGCTTAAGTTACCACAATATCACATTGTAGTAATGAATAGTCATATTTATGTAAATATGTTTTATTTTAGTAATATTCTTGTAAAAAACCCTAACTATTAATAACAGATCTGAAAGATAAAGTATTTAGGAAATACCTACTAAAATCCCCACAGGACTGTTACAATAGCAAGGAAGCTCACTAAGCACAGATTTAACAAAAAAATGCCAAAAAACTATTTTCTCAAATACCTATAGGCCTGTAGCATAACTAGAGCGGTATATTGGACTAAGTCGTACAAAGATTTTTTTGAAATATTTTTTACACGAATTTTTCCCCTAATAATTTAAATAAAATTAAATTTTGGGGTGGGTCGGGACCTGTAGGTTGCCCCTAGCTACGCCCCTGATATAGACACTGCACCTCAAATAATGCATGTAAATATGAGTATTATCAATATTGTTGGGACTTGGGGCAAGATCCAAGCCAAATAACAAGCCAAACATGCACCATGCACCATGAGCCAACCTAACAAAGGAGCCCAGAAATTTGGCCGGGTCCAAGGAGATCTAGTGGACCAGGCGGGTCTTATTAGGCCAAGGTTCAATTGGGACGAGATGTCTAATTTAATTGTTTATTATTTAACATCCATGATTTAAGATAATATCATGCTAACCGTTTGTGTAGATCGGTTAATTGCAAACAGTGTCAAACAGTGTCAAACAGTGTACTCTACAGTAAGTCAAATTTATTTCCTTAATTTGTGTGAAGTCAAAGTGTGAAGTTTATTTAGGACCGAAGGGAGTATTACATAGAAATAAATGATGAGTTCAAAATATTTTTCAAATGAGAGATGTTTTTTGGGGCATAAAAAGGTGCATGGGTCTTATAGGTACAATAGGGGCATATGCTTTGTACCGATTCATTCGTATTATCTAATTATGTTCTTTCGGTGGATGTCCAATCTGTAGTTGTCAAAATGGACGTGCGGGCAGAATAGGAATTTAAGTAATTTGGTACAAACATTTAATAAATACGTAGTACCTAGTACGTAGTAGCAGGGGTTGAAACAGGGACGGGCAGGGCATGGCAGGGCCTCGGCCCGGCCCGACATTTTTTAATGTATATACATGCCTATAAATATCTATAAAAGAATCTTTATTGTCCAATGGTTTTTGTTTTAGTCATACATAAATTACAATTTCATAAAAAACTTTGTAAAACAAATTAAAAAAGAATTGTCTTACGAAAATAGAGAACGATGCATGTGTGTAAAGGCAAGTTGGACGTTAGTTTCGGGCATTACTTATTTGGAAACCGGGAGCTCTTGCAAGGAACTAGCATTTTGGTCATGTCTTTTTGGAAGGTTTTATACAGAATATTTAATTGTATTTTAGGCACTTCTCCGAACCATGGTGATATCATTTGTATCTTCGATCTCTTTTCGTGCCAAATTATACCGTGCAACCGGCGCACCATGATGATGGTGCGCCCGGTTGCAAAACGACGCAGCTTGCCCCTCCTTTTTTTTGCTTTTGTTGTTAAAAAATGATAATAACTTTTTTATTTTTGATCCGATTTTTATAAAATTTATATCAACATTTTTTATTTTTCATGATCTTTCAAATGAGACCAATATTGCTTATGTAATTTTAAGAAATTATCGAACTATTATATTAATGAGTATTGGATTATAAGGAAAATCGAATCTGTTTGGGAGATGATAGGTTTGTGAAATAGAAGATCGGATCTGTTTGGGAGTGGATCAGTGGCTTCAGTTACATTTGATAATACATTGAGTTACATCTTTTTATGAGCGAGTTACATCTTTTTATAAGCAAGTTACATCTTTTTATAAGTAAATTACATCTTTTTATAAGCAAGTTACATCTTTTTAAAAGCGAGTTACATATATATAAACACGAGTTGCATTTGACATGCCTGAACGCGACTTACATATATTTACACGTAAAGTTACATATTTTTACACGTAAAGTTACATATTTATACACGCGAGTTACATATTTATACACACGAGTTGCATTTGACATGTCTGAACGCGAGTTACATATTTTTTTACGTAAAGTTACATATTGTTACACGTAGAGATACATATTTATACACATGAATTGCATTTGGCCTGACTGAACGTGAGTTACATATTTTAACACGTAAAGTTACATATTTTACACGCAAATGTTAATATGTTAAAATTACATAGGCAATATTGGTCTCATTTGAAAGATAATGAAAAATAAAAAATGTTGATATAAATTTTATAAAAATCAGATCAAAAATAAAAAAGTTATTACCATTTTTTAAAAACAAAAGAAAAAAAAATATAAATCTGTACCGGTATACGGTGCTCACCGTATACCGGTACAGATTTATATTTTTTTTTCTTTTGTTTTTAAAAAATGGTAATAACTTTTTTATTTTTGATCTGATTTTTATAAAATTTATATCAACATTTTTTATTTTTCACCGTATACCGGTCGTACGGTATAGGCACTCCTTTTCGTCTCAGCGGTCAGCATAGTTTAACTTTTCACTTGTTTCTTTTAAAAGTTTTAGTTAATACTTCCTCCATTCTTTATTAAGGCATTCCTTTTTAGGACTTTTTTTATTATTTGTCTCTCTTTCTATTTTAGGAAAATTTTGATAAAATACTCCCACTTTTATTACTTTTACCCCTCTTACTTTTTACAAATTACTTTCTCTTTCATACTTTATCATAATTTTACTCTACTTATTATACTCTCTTTCCTACTTTATCATCACTTTATCATCGCTTTACTCTTTTTAATATACTCTCTTTCCTACTTTATCATTTACCCTACACACTCTACATTACCCTAATATTTTTCTATTAAAACTCATGTCCAAGGCTCGCGGGACAGATAGTAAAGAACGGAGGAAGTATTTTGTATTTCTATTTTAGAAATTAATTAACATTCTTGAATGACAACTCATTTAACTATCAAGTACTACTCTTATTTTATATACAATTTTTTTACCTTAACCATTTAAATAAAATTTAGATTTGGGGTGTGGTGGGCCAGGGTCTAGTTAGGATGTTTTTATTTAGACTGAAATTTTCAGGTCTAGTTTGGTCTGGTCTAAACGGCTCTGGTCTGGTCGATCTGGTATACATCTGGTTTCTGTGTATTTTATAATTGTCCAAATCCCATATGGTCTGACCTGATCTGGTTTCATTTGCGACTGAAAATAGTCCAAGTAAAAATCTCACATCAATAGAATACAAAGTAATAACATACGTAGACCGTAGTACTATTTTAAGATCGATCCTAAGTTCATAACTACTACTTCCGTCTCATAAAACTTGGTCAACTTTCCTTTTTTGGACGTCCCAAAAAACTTTGTCATTTCCATTTAAAGTACTACCTCCGTTCCCATTTTAACTTCCAAATGGGTTTGGCACAAAGTTTAGGATAGTGGATATTGTGTGGTGAAGAGTTGTGAAGAAGAGAGAGAAATGTGTAAGAAATGTTGTGAACCACAAATTATTTACCAAAAAGGGAAAGTGAAAGTTTTAATTGGAACGGACG